GATGGAAGAAGCAATTTGATACCAACCATCAAATTTCGGCACCGTTCTTTGTTAAGAAATCGACGCTGCACTACTACATGCTTATGTGGCCGGTTACTTCAGATTAGAGCACTTAGGTGGGAACATGGCAGTGTGTTGCCTAATGCTTTATGGTTTCACACGTCTGCTGAAGCAATGGAATGGTTCAATTGTTCTAAGAAGTCCCTTGCTGCTTATGTGAGGTCATTGGGAGGAAATAAGGGTTTGGACATTACACAGGATATGAAGCCACCCAAAAGATTATATATTGAAGTACAGTGTCTAAAAGACTATGGAGAATTTGAAGTTGATGATGGTACCTCTGTGATACTAAGAACAAGCAGCCAGCATGTTTTACCTTGTTGGCAGTGTGAACAGTTAATCAGACAAGGAATTCTGGAACATGTGCTATCCTAGCTTCACATTAAGACAGAGTCCAGCTGTTGGAGACATCTGCACATCTCTTTGCCTACCTGACTCTCCACTGTTTAATTGTTAAAATTACAGTCATTCTTTCTGTATAACCAGAGCTACTTGGCTACATAGTTTTAGTGCTCATTTCTAAGGATTTATTAGAATCCTTAGAATTGTTCTCATCCTTGAAGTAATCTCTATCCACAAATATGACATTTCTATATTAGTGTGTTTTCTTAAAGACAGCAAACAATTTTTAAAAAAAAGAACTAGAGGAAAGTTAAATGTTTCCTCAGTGCTATACTGCACCGTGACTGGCTCTTCTCTTCCTTGTGACCCTTCTGTAAGGAGGTATCCAACTGTCTACAGATGGGCTTTGGGTCTCCACTCCACACTCCCCCTCATTCACATTGAGAGGATTTTTGTTGTTCTGAGTTTTTGATACCTGATACCTAATTCCCATGGACACCTCATGATCACACAGGCTGGTGTACTTCTTCCATGTGGACTTTGTTGCTTCTCCACTAGATGGCCGCTTGTTTATCTTCAAGCTTTTAAGACCCCAGATGCTATATCTTTTGATAGCCAGGCTCCATCAGCTTTCTTCACAACATTTACTTATGCACCCATTTTGTTTTCAGCAATTGTGTCAGGAAGATGAGTATTACAGAATGCCTGGTTCTTAGAACAAAGTGTTTGTATTGAGGGAGTACCTGAGTAGAGGCCCAAAATCCATTTGCTACTGTAATACTTTACCTATAAATATATGTACATAGATCTATTTCCCTATTGTTTATATATGAATATA